CCGCTCTGGCCACCTCCTCCAGGAGCTCCTGCCTCCTTATCTGAACTCCCCCCGCCCTCCCGCCTCTCTTGGGGCTGACTTTCCCTATTCCAGGTTGTTGCAGCCGCTTTCCCAGGGTTTCCCAGGGCGGGCTGGGCTTCCTTCCTGTTCAGCTCCTGGAAGCAGAGTGGCAGCAACTGTGCACTCTGGGGACCCACCTACCCAGCGCCAGCTCAGGGGCCAGGCCACCCCCAGAGACCCAGTTCTCCCTGCAGGAAGGATGTGGACAACTGTCCTTCCAGGTGTTTTATGGAGCAGAGAACCCAGTGGCCTCTCCCTAGGATTGGAAGAGATTTCAAGGAATGAAGGATCCGATGTCACTGAGGCCCTCAGTAAAGTGCACTTCTGGGCTCCCCCTCCCTGTGAGCAGGACCCAGCCACTAGGAACCCAGAGAGAGGAAGTGAGCCCTGCCTGAAGGGATTACCACCTCCCTGGGGGAGCAGAGATACCACCCAAACCCCAAGGAAACCAAGGTGAAAGGCCATGCAGATGGCTTTCCCCAGAGGCCCAGCAGGGTGGCTGGGTGGCCGTTCCTGCTGCTCCTCCTCGCTCTGCAACCTGTGGAGAAGCTCTCCAAGCCTCAGCGTCCTCCTCTTAACAATGGTCTCCTCGCCTGTTGGGACAGTTGGGAGATGTGGCGGAGCAGCCCCAGGCACTCCATGGGCACTGTGAAGCTCAGCCCTCCTTCCCCTTGTGGAGGATGCTGCCCCTCAGGATACGGCAGGAAGCTTCCAGCTTGTGCAAGGAGGCTGCTCAGCTCTGGACCCGCCCTCATGAACCACCCCCCCAACCCATGGCTCTCCTGTGCTTCTTTCACATTCTCCAACACTCTGCTCAGTGTCACAGTGACCATTCCCACTGGGGCCTTGGGAACGGGTGTACTCGGGTCAGGTGTAGTTTAGGGAACAGGTAGTTGTTTGGGTTTTGCTCTACTTCTGTACTTAGAGAAACTGAAGTTGTGGTTTCATGAACCACAAACGAACAAACTACATAATCTATTTGCAATACCATTCTTCAATTATTCTTTGTTTAAAAAAACTTATTCAAAGTTAGGTTTTTAATTATCTGTGTTTGACCAGGGTTTTGTCGATTGCTTTATTCATTTATTTATCCAGTTGTTGACAAAATGCCCTCCTGAATTCATGCCAGGCTGGCTTTTCCTTGTGGTTTGACTTGAGCTCGCTGCCTCTGCTTGCTGCCCTGCTCCAAAAGCTGCTACTTACCAACAGGTTTATTTAACTGCACTGAAGAATAGGTTTGAACACTTGTATCAACCCTCCTGAGAGAGTGGAGGCAATGTCCACACCTGGCTTCTCCCCTTTCTTGGCCTCAAGCAAACACAAGTCACACTTTCCAGAATCTTCCCTGGGTCTTGTGAAGTAAGAGGGGGTGGACTCTTGTAATACGCTACTACAAAAAAAGCAGTTCAACTATCCCCAGCAATCCCCAGTGACCACCTCCTGCCCAATACTGAGTGCCCCTCTACACCACTAGTGGGCTCTATGTTATGTGGGGCTTCACAGCACCCCAGAAACCCTCCATGATTTCACGAGTTATTCCACAGATTGTCTCCCCATTGTTTTATACAGGTTTCCTAGGAGATACTTCTTTCCTAGTAGTGGCATCTTATTTTCTATGCAGACTATCACATCATTTGAGACTAAAGCCTTATTCTTTTTTCCTTTCTAATTCCTATGTATTTTATTTATTTTTCTTATCTTATTATATTGGCTAAGATTTCCAGCAGGATGATAAATATGAGTGATGAGAGCAGATATCTTTGTTTTGTTCTTCTTATTAGAGAGGGGAGCAATCCATCTTCCATCATTAAGATTAATTTTAGCTATAGATTTGCACAAGCAGATTTAAAAATCGCTTAGTAACCACAACTATTTCTTTTGCTTCTTTGGCTTCAAACCTATTTCATGAGTCAATTTTTAATTTAACAATATAGTGATTTTATAACAACCTGTTATAATTTGTACTGTAGAGTCTTTATTGTGTTTGGTTTAAAATAACCAGCCTTGCCAGGACTCAGATAACAAGCAGTCTGTTTTGGTAGAAAACATCATGTACTGCTTTAGCTATTTTAAAACAGCAACAATCAAAACATGATTCCACCCTTCATCAGTGCAAGTGTGCACTCCCAGCTGAGCATGGTGTCCATCCACAGGTGGACAGAAGCCCACTAGCCCCAGTACTGACCACTCACACAGGAACATGAGCACTGTGTCCACCAACAGAATAGTGGGTAAAAAAAACAAATATGGCCATGAAAGATTAGTTTTCTGTAAAGTGTTGGCACATTCTGCATCATGGACGGACCTGAAAAACATTACGCTCCGTTGCAGAAGCCAGTTGTAAAAAGGTCACATGTTGAGTGAACCTATTTAGGTGGATCGTCCAGAACAGGGAAATCCACAGAGATGGAAAGTAGCTGAGTGTCTCCAGGCCAAGGTGGAAGGGCAAAGCTGGGAGCCAATGGGTGTGAGGCTTCCTTTGGGGTGAAAAAATGTTCTAATATTAGATTATAGTGATGGTTGCAAATTTTGTGAATATACTGAAAAAACTGTTGAATCATACACTTTAAACAAGTGAATTTTGTCATGTCAATTATACCTTTAAAAAGCCTTTTCCTTAATTAAAAAAAAAAAATCTAACATGAGAACTAAGTGAATGGTCAGGCTGGATACTGGTGGCTCTGTGAAACAGACAGGGTGCCCCAGCCAGATCTCACGGGGCCATCCTCAACGGCAAGGAAACACACACTACGTTAGGAGCAGCAGACTGTGGGGGTCTTAGGGGCTGGACACCAGGCATTGGGGCCTATCAGGGGTCTCCCTTGGTGGACTGGCAGCCAGAGACCACAGCAGAGGTTGGGTCTGGACGCTGTCTGAAGCATCGACACCCGGAGTTCTCCAGGAGACTGACACTGTTTCTTCTTCTTTCTTTTTCAGACTATAGCCCTCGTTTTCACTTGGTGAGTACGAAACTTTTTTTTTTTTATTTTTTCACTGTATAGTTAACTAGCTATAAGACTGTGTGGGATTCCACTGTGGGGCTTGTTTTCCTGAGGAAGAGGGCCTCATGGTCGGTGGGTGACATTTTCGCTCCACGCCTCGCCGTGGGCCAGGGGGCTTCACACTTGTAGTCGCATCGCTTTTTACCTTTGGCTCGGCTGCTCCGGATCCTGAACTGTGTTGTTGAGAGCACCCTCTGCACGTGCTTCCTTTCTCTGACTCATGGGTACTCTCCAAAGGGCTTCCCTTATCTCTGTGGCACACATTTGACGCCTATGAGGGCACACGGAGGTGCATAATTGCACGGGTGGTAATTGCTTCTTAAATTGATCTGCTGTGGGAGAACTGCTAAAAAGGAGATTTTCTGGATTGCACGCCTGGTAAAAACCGTGTCGCTGTCACACATTTTATGCCTTTGGGGGACCAGGCCACAGCAAAATTCCATGGCTTTGATGTCCTTAGAAAGGGAAAACTTTAAACACCATAGCTGTTTTGTGATCTATTTAATCAACTTAATGCTGTTCCGTTTCCTGCAGAAAGCCAGGGAAGGAAATCTGAATGTCCACAGTGTGCGCAAGAGGTACATGGAACTCTCTCGACCCCTAGCACCATGACCCTGGCCACTGGGAAGCTTTATTTCCTAAACGCATAACCTTATTTGAGATTTGCTGTGCCCCAGAATTATTTTAAGGCCAATGGCTCAGCTCTTTTGTCCTGGCTGCCCCTTCTTATAGGCAGAGGCCCTTTACAACACCATTCCATCTGGACATGAATGTTTGTGGTTATTCCTGGTGTCACCAAAGGCGTTTCGGTTGCCTGGATATCTCTCCTTACTTCAGTAAGAAATGTGAAATATAGTGAAAAATTTATCGAGTTAGAGAAGAGCTACCTACTAAACTGGTTTTGCTACCATTGTTGGCACCTGTTGTACCATGACTGGGTGTCATCCATTCCGAGTGGCATACTCTGCATGGGTAGATGTTAATGGTGGGATCAAAGGGGAGGATCTTACTGGAATAACATTTGTGGGATGGAGACATAATTACACGAAGTCTGCAATCCCTGTTGCCTCAGAGTCCCAGCCAGAGGTGTTGGCTTGTCCGTAATGGCTAGGACACATATTAAATATGATGCTCATCAAAACCAGTGGCTCCAAGTGCTTTGAGAATGCGCCTCCCATGCTGGAATGAAATATTTGAGGGTCAGACCCCACAAATGCATCTCCTTCTGAAGCCCAGGGGGCCTGGGCTTGTTCCCAGCAAGACCTTGGCACTGCTCGACTCCCTGTTCTTGCTGGCCCTCCACTTGCAGCCTTGCCTTCTGCCGGTTCTAGGAGTTCCAGCCTCTTGGCCAGAGGACCCACTGCTGGGTAGTGAGTCAGCAGCTCTCCAGTGGAGAGATCCTGTGACAGGTGCTTGCTCAGGTCCCCTTCTCCCCAGCACTGTCTCAACCCCGGCTAGAAGTTTAGAAGTTGGGGCCCTGCCCAGGCCTATGTCCAGGAGCTGGCTCCAGTGCCTCCTGGTCTCTACCCAGGATGCATGGTAGCAGAGCAGCTCTGGGCAGCACCTCCTTTCCTCCTGGCCCAATCCGTGGCCACTATTTCAGTTCTGCTTAGGGAACTGCTGAGTTCCTGGATTTACATTGCTTCCAATTTCAGGAATCTTTGTCTTTGGCATGAGGAGCAGATATTTGAAGTATGGGCCTCCTGCCCACTGTACCTCATGCTGCCCCATCTGGAACCAGTTACTGGGCTGCTGGGAGGAAAATCTGGCTGGTCTTTTAACCTGTTGCATTTCCATTGCTAACCATTTTAGACTTCCCTGAGCCTCAGAATATCAATTAATAGAAGGAAATATATTTCTAACTTGTGGGATTAGAGACTTACTTTTGAGTCAGTGAGAACTACATAAGAATCCCTGTTGGGCAGGGCAGCGCAGCCTCCTGTGATTGGAGACATCACAAGCCAGGAGCCAGGTAGCCCCTTGCTGAGCGAATATGCCACCATATGAATGAGTCTCTGGTTGTGATATCTAAATATGTGGCCCAAGGTAAGCATTTAATAAATGCCAGCTACTGTTATTACTGCTATTCTAATTCTTAACCTCATCACAGAATTAAGACAACTGTTTTTAACTTTTAAAGGAGGCATTTAACTGGGCTGTTGTGTATGTGTCCCCCCTTTTGTGGATATCAGAGTTCCCTTTATAGAAATAATCCCTGATTTTTTCATTAAAAACCCAAATTAATATTTGACTTTCAAAAAATGAATCAGATTTTTTCCTTGTTGAGTCGAATTAGGAGTCTTTAGCCACGCCCCCATTCTCAAGCTTCTTTTCCTTTTCTTTTCCTTGCATGTAACCATGTGCTTGTAGAAGTGCCACTGTCAACTGCTCACATTGGGTTTCAAGTGGACTGAGTTTCTTTCAACCGGAGCGTGCTCACATCCCTGGGGGTTTCCGTGGCTCAGTATTTCATGCAACGGAATTTAAGAACTAATAATTTATGGAAGACACACAATTGAAGTTAAATATTTCCTGCAAACTCTTTAAGGTCTTATATTTTTAAACCTAGGGGTATCTACCTGTAGGTAAAATTAAATGATATTGTAAGTTGACTGTTCCACTGTGGTTCATGGAAATACCAAAGGAACAAAAAAACAACTAAATTAAAGCACAACTATTAGGCCGCCGTGGATTTTTATTTTGAAGTTTAGTAGGACGGTCACCCACCAGCCGCCCTTCAGTGGTGCGCTGTGCTTCCTCCTCTGTCACTTTTGGTACCTGCCCGGTCATTTTTCTTTCTTGGTGTGGGTGTGAATGGTTACCACGACAGGAAAAAAAAGAATCTGTAGTTTTTAAAATTAAGCTCCTGGGCCTAGTATCATTCTGACGGGGCCGGTGAGCAGGCTAGCTGGCTGTCTGGCTGTGCAGCTGGGGAGATGGGCTTCAGGTGGCAGGACAGGAGGCATGTGCCCTGGGCTGGCCTTCAGGTCACAGGAGCGAGAGAGCTGCTGCAGGTCATAGGAAGAGGGATGGTGTGCCCCTCTGTTGGTGCCATGGAGCCCAGGGGCACCCATTCGGAGCGACTGTGCTTCTTCCCACAGTGGGAAGGTTCTCCCAATGACTACTCCTGGAAGAGGTGGCAGGGGAAAGAATGCCTCAGGAAATGAAGTGACCCGCAGATAAGTCCCGCATGCGGCTCTGTTTCCACCCCCTGGGAAAGATTCCGCATTCTTTCAAGAAGTGCCTCCAGCAGGGAATCATTGGTCATAGAGGGAAGGCCTGGTGCTCAAGCGCAGTTTCCACTTGGAGGAAATGGGAACAGACTCCCCTTATAAGCCAGCCTGCTCACTGCCTGCGCAGCAGACCCCGTTCAGAGCTGGGATTCTTCTAGAAATCCTTTTGAGTGGACAAGGAAACATGGATTCGCTAAGGCCAGGATGTCTCCCCAGCGTCACCCGAGCAGGACAAGAGGTAAAGGGGGATTTTCCGGTTACTCTGAATTTATATCATGCTTGCTTATAATTTCTAAGGTATCCAAAAATTCGGTTGGAGACTAACATCAAGAAGCCTTCATTAAATGAACCTTTGGCAACCACTTCAGCTGACTTTGCCCAACTTGGGCAGGAAATCTGGGGTTTATGTTTCAGGAAGCCATTTCTAATCCACCATAGCTCAGCCAGGCGTGCACGGGGGATGGCAGGAGGAACTGTCTGCTTGGGCCTGCTGGGTTGTCAGACAGCCAGGAGTCAAAGGTTAAGTCACCTCTCTAGAAAAACAAACCTAACAATTGCAGAGGCCCTCGGCTGGCTGGACAACCTGTGGAAATCCCACCCATGGAAAGCTGGACCTTTCCTGTATTTATAATCAAAACTGCCTTGTTGATTTCCCCCCCCCCCAGCTGAATTTGTGAAGCAGCATTTTAAATTGACAGTGGTGCACTGAGAAATAGGAGATGACTGAGGCCAGGCAGCATGTAGCACTTCCAGGACCTGTCCTGGCTGCACCAGGCCAGGCGGGCGGGCAGTGTGCGGTTTTCCTGTCTGTGAGCTCACAATGTGGAAACAGATGGCCCTGGTGGCCGCAGACATGGACCTTCTTCCTGAAAGGTGGCATCCTCCACTTTGGGGGCCAGGAGGCCAGACGTTCATAAGCCCTTTGGGGTGCGAGAGTTACAGGTAGAGTTCTCAAGCCCAGCAGGCCACTGCATCAGGACCAATGTCAGGTGCCAGGTGCAAGGGCAGGGACCAATGCCCCCAACACAGGAACTCATTGTCGCCAGCAGCTCCGTCCCCTGGGCGCCCACGTGAATGGGGACATCAAGCAACATCTAATCTGCCAATCCAAATGACTTTTCAAAGCTGCTTATGATGGTGCAGAGTTTGTATTAAAGTATTTTTTAAAAGTTAGAAAGGAAAAAAAAAAAGATCCTTATGGAATTGCTGAACAAAAAGGAGTCACATGGTGGATTCTTGGGACAGCTTTCCTCCTCAGTGAATAGAGGAAAGCTCAAGCAAAACACAAAAACTGGATTCGTGTTGTTTTTATGTTGAGAGCTGATTGAATTCTAACAATGTTTAAAAATATCTCAATGGTATTTAACTGATTCAAACAAGTTTACCAAGACTGATTCACTGTCAGAAATGGTGTAAATTTCATGTTCAAATGAGACGCGTGCGCGTGTGTGTGTGTGTGTGTGTGTGTGTGTGTGTGTGTGTGTGTTTTAAAGCTATCACCTTCCCATGTTGCTGATGAAAACTGAATTTTTAGGAAACATCACAATGGTGGAAATTATTATTCAGAAAAAGAGGGTTTGGTCTATTTCCTGTTTTCCCAGATAACTTAAATGCTTGTGCTTAAAACATGCATTGAATTTAGACAGGACACACGCATGCAGGACTGTTGACAAAGCTGCTCAGATTCCTTATCTCATGTGGGCTTCATAAATCCCTGGAGGAAGCCCAGGTGTGATTCATCACCTCTGCCTCCAAGATGAGCAAGCAGAGACCGCAGGCTGGAGAGCGAGTTGCCAGGACCCTGAGAAAGGACAGTGGTCAGCAGCACCTGGTGCCGCGCTGGCTCTCTTTCCCGTGGTCGTGATGACACGTGCACTGTTTGTGATACCAGATCAATCTTGGCAGAGCTGTTTGGAATCCATTAAAAACCACCAGAAGGTCCCCTCCACCTCCAGCCACGTTCCTCCCAAGCTGGAACGCCAGTCACTCCTCTCACGACGGCCAAGGTGAAGTTCAGACCTGCCAGAGGAAAGCTCTGCCATTGAGAGAAGGGTGGTTTTTCAGTGGTGCGAGCAGTCGAGAGCATCAACAAACAAGAACACATCCTGTGGGTTGGGCAGACTGTTTGGGAGGAGATAACTGTATTTTGGAACAACTTCATGATCATTGGAGTTGATCTTGGCCAGGGTTTCCAACTGCTTCCGCATGTTATCTGCTGACCAGACTCAGTTTTCTAATCTCCTTCCACACATTTGCCAGGTTTCCGCTCGCGGTAGTTGGTGGCTCGTGCGCTCCTCACCGAGCGCTTATCAGGTGTCTCCTGTGGGCTCAGAGTTGTGCAAAGTCTTGAAAAATGAAGTGCTAGCTCATAGTCCTGATTTCAGCAAGTCCGGTTGGTAGGCTGGCGGCTGAGGCCTCCTCTGGTGAGTATAAATGGGGGTTCTGCACAGGAACCTAGTGCACAGAAGCAGTTTCATTCTAGAAATCTGAATGACTTAGTCACCTCATCACTCTGAGTCAGACTTCTTTGTCTAAAAATAAAAGGCTGAGTGAGAATTTTTAAAGGTCCTTCAAGACACCGGGTTCTACAACATAGGGCAGTGCTTATCTGGATTTGGAGTTACCCAGAAATCCCCAGGAAGCCATCACTGCCAAGCATCCCTGACGACTGGCCAGTGTGTCCCCCCTTCCCTTCCGGGACGAGGCTGCACATCATGATGAATGGTGCCGATAATTTTTGCTTTGACAAGAGAGCAGCTGTCCTGAGGTCCTTTCTCTGCCCTTCTCCCTCATTTGTGTTCTCTTCCACTGCCCTCCACAAGAAGCAAGGACATATGATGGAGGGTTTTATTAATGGAAAATTTTTATTTGTAAAACAGTAATTTTCCCCCCATAATGTTGCTTATGTGCAGGAAGAAAATGCTGAGCATCCATGGGCTTTGGTTTTAAGGCTTAGGCAGAAACAGTAGTTAATATATTTTAAAAATATGGTTTCTTCACCGTTCAAAGCCCATTTTAGCAAAGGGTTCTGGGAGCTGCGTGATGGTTTATTTGACTTGCAGGTGTGGTTCACTGCAAAGGACAATAATCTGCTTAGAAGCCATAGACCCACCAGCCGTGCTACGACCCTCTTGGGGGAGTTCTCTGAAGAAGTCCAAATGGCAAATGCCTGGCTGAGATGGCTGAACACACACCCTGGAGCCAGATCACATTCAGAGGAATCACTGTTTTCCAAACCTGCTTTGGCTTCCTTCCAATCTGAAGCCAGCTCTGACATTCTGTCTTGCTGTTTCCTGTTGTGGGCGGATTGATTTAATTTTTAATGAGTGATTCACTGCCCATGGCTGTGTGTTTTCCTCCTGTTGAGATGAGAATTAAGTCATGTTTCCTTTAAAACATTATTTTTTATATAAACTGGGTAACATGGTACTTAGAGTTGGAAACAAAGAGACAGAGTAATATCCCTTAAGAGAGGGCCTCCGGCCCTTAGGAAATGGTAATCACATGACCAAGATGTTCTTCAAAGAGATATGTTGCTAAACACCAAAAACACTTCTTGCTATAGCAATGTTTTCAAAAGTTGTGTAATTTTTCTAAAAACTTTTTCAAGGGGTTTCTACAAACTTCATGCATTTGGGAAACCGTGTGGTAGGTGTCCCTGATGGGAAGCCCAGCAATGTCATCCTTCTCTGGTGCGTGTGTGGGGCTTCCTTCCTGTCCACTGTGTTTACTCCAAGTGGCCTCTGACTGCGAAGCTGGGGCTTAGCGGCTTCTCTGTTGCCTGGATGCTGCTCCCTCAGGATGAGCTGAGCATCCGGCCAGGAGCCCGCCAGACAAGCTGTCACTGCTCCCTCCTGACCCCCAGCATCGTGAGGTCCCCAGCATCGGATTTTACAAGCTGATACCCAGGAACTTGCTGTCCACAAGAATGACAAGCACAGCCACCAAAGAGTGTCCAGAGGTGGCAGGAAAGGTACGATCAGAGGAGAGACAAGGAAGGAAAACGCAGTAAGAGGACAAGGATGGTGGCCATTGGTGGAACAGTAATATCTGGAGACGCAGAGGACGGGCAGCCCGGGAAGAGCTTGGATCACTGGGCTCACTGCGTGTGGCTGCCATCAGTCGCCTTCTTCTTGGGCATTGGTCTCCTCAGCCTCCCAGGCAGCACCTGGAGTCTCTTCTGCAAGGCTCGGGAATTGCCTGCTCAAGGTGGGGCCCAGGAGGAAACAGCAAAACTAATCTGCAAAAAAATGGTCCATGCTGGAGGTGGGAACTCTGAAATGCACCACAGGCAGCAACTGGGGTTGCTTTTGAGACAGTGCACCCCTGAGTGTCCAAGAGACTGAACCCAGGGCATGCTGGGTAAGAGCTTCAAGGTGCAGCCCCACCCCGAGCGGCTCTGCTCTCAACCCCGGATCTTGGCCTGGATGCAGGGCTTGCTGTTGTGCAGCGTCCATGAAGAGGAGACGCCCAGGCCTGGTGGAGCCCAGGAAGCACCCAGGACCTGAGGGCCCAGCGGCAGGCCTGAAGCAGCAACCTCCATCCCTCCCCATGGAGATGTGCCCCCATCAGAAACCCAGTGCTGGACCAGAAATGCAAACGCCTCATCAGATATCCAAACATCATGTAAAAAGCTGCAAGACCTCTTACCCGACCAGAAAGCAGAGTAGCCCCTCAGGCAGTGACACTGATGATGCACCCAGGAATCTTCATGTTTCACCAGAACATGTTGACACTTTCCTGAACTTTGCCTTAAAGATTAAAAAAGAAAGTAATCGTTTTATTTCAGCTGTGCTGTGACATGTATTATAAATGTGCCTGCTATACATATGGCTCCATTTGGGAAAATGTTAATTGCTCCAGCCACAAAACCTAGGGGCCTGGTTGGAAATAAGCAGAGGACAGAGGAGGAGAATCGCTGAAATTCCTAATCCGCATTCTGTGAAAGACAAGAGAATCATGTCCAGGGGTCTAGCGACCCCGGTGTGGCTCGTCTAAGCCTGTTAAATCCACAGCAAATGGTTTGCTTCAGGACATGACTACACGAGGATGAAATACTGATCTTGGGAAGAAAAAGGTCAACTTGGAAATGGCCTGATGATCCAGAAGTGTCTGTTCAGCTGCACAAAATGCATGTTTTCTGCTTTCTCCATAGTTTCTCTAGTGTGTGACATATAACCTGAAGCTCACGCTTGGCTGGATCATTGCCAAGAGACAGTGAACAGCTGATTTGGACCCCATGCCTGACTGTGACGGGGTGGGGACCAGGGTCTCAGATCATGGAGACCAGCGAATGAGCTCATTGTCTTTGCCCCCCAGGGCCTGCCAGCACCTAGCAGACAGGGGGGACCCAGGAACTTGATGAAGTAATGAGTGACCCAGAGGCCTGGCATGGGGGCCGGGGATTGTGTCTCCACAGCGCCTGGGGCAGCACTTCACAAAAACAGGGCCGGCTGCATGAAACGTAGGGTCACCGGCTCAAAGGCAGAAAAAGCTTCCTCTTTTCTTCTGTGTTCTCTCTGGGCCTGTCATAGTGGTTTTTGTTTTGTCTTAACTTCCTATTGAACGTCTCATTCCTTCAAGCACCTGGTGCCCTTCAAGCACCTGGTGCCCTTCAACCTTGTACCCGGTGGGTAGAAGGAGTGTTCATTCAGCCCCCAGTCTCCAACCTGGGGTCAGGCCTCTACAGGAAGAGAGAAACATGGGCCTTACTCGTGGGGCTGGAGAGCAGACAGCCTGGAGGTGGGGGCAGAAAGTGGACCAGGCGTAAGTTGAGGCTCCAAGCCTCTGGCAAGTGTGCTATTGCCCTGTTTTCATTTGTAAAATGTAAATTCAAAAATGAAAGTATTAAGATGAATTTTAAGGCAGCCCCAAGCCTGGGCCTCTTCTGAGCAAGGCTGAGGGACCACTCTGACTCCCTGAAGCTGGCCCTGGCTGTGCCAACTGGTGGCCAGAGCACTGGTGTGTCCACCCAGGACAGGAAGTGCCTTCTTTTCCCCAAGAGCATGATTCTTTTGCAGCTAGCATGCCAGTGGCCCCAACTGCTTAGCAGTTTCTGGAAAGTTCTCCCTGCCCTCTCTCCCTGATGCCCTCTACGCAATGCCTGGTCCTGGGCTTTTTCTGCAACCCTGTCTTACTCTCTACGTTGTCATGGAAGCCTGTGTCACTCTTTGGACCCGCCATGTTTGTTCATCTTCTCCCTATGAGAACACAGACCTCCAGGACGAGGCTCTGGTCCCTGCTCCTCCCACACACGCTGTCACAAGAGTGACACCAGCAAACTTCAGTGGCACAAATGGGTACAAGGAATCTTCCTCACAATGCCTTATATCCTTTTTGAAGCAAGGCATAAATACATACATGAAGCCAGCTCACACTTGCAAGCGTGGCAGACAATCTTCAGCAGTTTTCTCTGCACAACACCAGACTGGTGCCATGGACGTGGCCGAGTTTATCTTGTTGCACTGTGTGGCCATGTAGCCGATGTCCAAGGGGCATGTGGTACTTCGGAATCACTCCCTCTGAGCTCAGGGAAGAGCCCCGGGTCTGCTCTTTTGGTTCAGTCTGGGTTTCTGATGGCACTTCTCCTCCCAATGTCACGCCCCCCAGGACTTCTGAGCTAAATGAATGTGGCAGCTGATCAAAGCTCCTCCTCTGAGCCTCCTCGTCTTGACATGTTTCTGAATCAGTCACTGAAAGACCTATTCTAAGATGAGGTGTTGATACCAACTGTAAGTTTTATGCACCAGGAAGAGTGGATCTGCCCTCAGCACCACGCCATGAGCCTTCTTCCATCAGGACACAGGGACAGCAACTAGCTAGAGAGCGCTGTGTCTTGCCAAGAAGCAGGAGGTGCCAGTGGTCAATGGACATTCTTCTGAGGAGGAAAACCCAAAGTCCCCCTCCCAGGTCCTGGGTCCTGAGGATGGTGTGGGAACTGGAAGGACGCCCTGCCACTCAACATCAAGGACACGTGCCATCTGGTTTTCCCCATCCGTTTCCCTGGAGTCCCTGGTGTGCTTGGCCTCTTGCTAAACACACCCAGAAGTGGTGACAGCTGGGAGGGGCCTGGAGTACTCCCACTGGAGCATCCTCACCAGGAGCTCCTGAGATGCCACCAGCGTAGGGAGCAGAGTCAAGGAAATCCAAGCTGCAGGGCAGGTGCACAGTCTGGTGATGAGGGTGTCTTCTGCAGGTGGGGGAACCCTGAGGTGGAGAGACTCATGCAGCATGATTCTTTCCAGTACAGGAGGCTGCCCAAGCTGACCTGCTGGAAATTCCAGGGAGATGATGACACATATGGTAACAAGGAGGTCAATTTCGAGTTCCTGGACCACGAACCTGGGCCACTTGAGTCAAGAGTGATGTGTTTTGCACATTCAGATTTCTTCCACCTAACTTCCTACGGTTTTCATCAGACACCCAAGTTGCCTGTTTTGCCAGGATTTGGAAGTTAACGGTGGACCTTGGCAGCCTGATGCAGGGAGGTGATAACAAGAGCTCTCTGGCTCCAGGTGCATTTGGTCACCTTCTCTCCTGGAATCAGAGCCACCCTAATGGCTGCCTCTGGCTCTTGCCTCTGGTGCACCCTGTGCTCTGCCTGAGGTCGCACTGCTGGTTTGTGCAGTGATGCACTACCCTGGAACCTCGGTCTGTTTGACTTCCATGTACCTGATGTTAGCACCTGAACTGGATGGAGCCATTTCTCTCCTCTCTGGAACCAAGGCGGTCAGTCCATGGTGGCCACCACCAGGAAGAGAGGTGCTCAGTGGGGACTTGACAGAGCCTGGGCAGGCAAGAAACCAAGTTCGAACACCAGCTCTGCCCTTACTAGGCTGCCTGACAGCAAATGAGTTGTGTGCCTACTAGGACCTCCTTTTGAAGGTTCTAGTGAGTTCTCCAAGGCCCCTGATATTTGTAGGGTCTGGATGCAGAACAGCAGTACAGAAGTACCCAGCTGGTGCTTAGCTCACAGTCCAGACCTGATGTCAGGGTTTAGAACAGGACAGTCTTCGAGACTTGCTGTGATTTCATTGGTAGCGTCATATAATCACACATGGGAAAAGCTATTTTCAGTGATGCTGCAACATTTGATTAATTCTTCTGGAAGGGATAATGGGACACCTCTAGTCAGCACTGGGGTGAATTTGCCGAGTATCAAAGGAAAATTGTCAGGAGCCTCCTCACTCTGCGTGCCCCATTTAGCATTCTGTCCGTGTTGATCCTAACTCGACAAACGCACACACAGAGGAAAAAAATGTCCAAGCCCACCTTGAACCAAATGGATTTGACCTCTATTTATAAATGTGCTTTGG